CCTAGGTCAAAGTCAAAATGGATGAACAACCAGGACTTTCCGCTGGAGCTTACACACAGTGAACAAACAAGAAGCAGAAGAAGAAAAAATAGAAGAAGATGAAGAGTATTGATTGTGGATCTTTAATGTTTGCAGTTTGTATTCATTGTCGAATTTTGAAATTAGGTTGTAGTCACTGTGGATTGTTTGTAATTTTAATTTGTATTCATTAGTAGTGTGTGTTTGCTTGTTTAAATCTGTTGGAAGTTTCATTGTTTGGTTGTTGCGGTTACTATGGGTGCAGATCCAGGTAATATAAACAACTTTTTTAAAATGAATAACAACTGATGCAATTGTATATCATTGTTTACTTTCTAGGCCATTTGAAGTAGTGACTCCAGTTGAAGATGCCATTATTACAGAGCTGACATATGTCCTACGAGAATGGCACATTCGCTGGAAGACTTTGTTTGTGGTAATATCAAAATTTAAAGTTGATTATTTAAAAAAAAATGTGTCAGGTGTTATGTAAATGAACGGTACAGACCATAAACCTGCACATTAAACAAGCAATTAAAAGGTTGAATTGAGATGTGAAAATACAACTGACTGTGTTGTATTTTAAGGAAACAGATGTTGGATGTTTTATTTCCTTTTAAATCACTCGCTCGGTAAAGTTAGCTAGTTAATTGATCAATCATCCTCATTGCACATTGGACAGTCCATAGGCGCTCAGATCCCATCTTCAGTATATCCCTCAGCATGTGGGGACTTATAACACCAGTTCTGTGTTGGTTTATTCTTCTTCTTCTTTCGCCTGAAATAAGCTGTCTATTTCAGCAGTTTTGTCTCTTGTATAAATTTCACTGTCGTTGTTAGTTCATTCAGTGGTCCATAGAGTTTACGTTCCACTGTTGTTCTTTCTGGCCAAAAGGTTTGCCTTAATGTGTCAAATTCGGTGCAGTCCTGGAGTACATGCTTTGCTGTCTGGGGCACATTTCCACAGGTGCACTTGGCTGATACACCTATCTTGAATTTTGGTTACATGTGGTTATGTAATTGGTTGTGCCCTGTTCTGAGGCGGAGAATAATGACTTGTTCTGGTCAGTCCATAATAAAATAGTCGTCTTGTGCTGGGGCTGGTGGTTTCCTGATTGATTTTATGATTTTTTTCTTTTGGTGGTATGTGACTGGTACATCCGACTGCACTTTTATCGCACCTTTTCCTGCCAGTTGATCAGCTTTCTCATTTCCAAGCACTCCACAATGAGACGGTATTCACTGCATTACGAGGCTTATTATTCAACCTTATATCTGGCACCTCTTTTGACTTGAAATTCTTGTAGTCTTGTCAGGGTTGCGATCCACCATCTTCTCCTGAATCATTTGCTCGCCCTGCCTCCTTGAGAGCAGTGAAGATAGGGGTGACTGCAGTCAAGCTAATACAAAAGAAATAATCCAGTCAACTGTGACTAAAAAGCTTAGCGAAATGGGGAAGCAGAAAAACGGGCACAAAACATCACATATCGACGTTTCGGCCGGGGGCCTTTTTGACATGAACTGAACTACACAACATAACAGTAACAAAGAGGAGAGTATTCCAACCCCTAAAAGGTCACGTGAGAAGTTTTTAAAAAGGGTGATTTGGAATGAAAGAAATAAAATAAAGAAAGGCTTAAAAAAATATAATAAAGTGACAATATTAAACCTGTTTAGATAAGGGTATGTTGGACATTGATGCCTTCTGGACTAAGAACACCTAAGCTGTGGATGAGGCAATTTTTCACAGTGAGGTGTGTGGTACGATCTCCATAGCAAGATTTTAATTGTGACAGATATATCATATTTGCTTCTGTGGTCAGAGATGTTAAGATAGAGAGGGATTGGTTTAAGTGTCTTCTTAATATCGGATGGGGGTTTCCTGAACCGATCAGCTAGCTTCCTGCTGGTTTCCTCAATGTATGCCTTGTTGCATCTTTTGCAGTTTATGGACTAAATAACGTTGTGGGATTCACCAGTAAAAGGTTCCATAATTTGGAAAGAACCATTAGGGAAACTGACCGATGAGGTGTGGGCAACGAAAGGATATGTCTTGCACGTGGTGCGGGGGCATTTAATAGTCCCAAAAGGAAGTGCTGCGTGTATCTGTGGGAGTTGGCTTCTGACAAGTATGTCTTTGAGGTTGTGATCTAGCCTGTAAACTAATCTCGGCTTTTCATTGAAGATTATCTCGGTGTCCGGATCAAAGCGGAGGATGTCCAAATGATGAAAGAATATTTTGGAAGCAACCACATTGATAGGATGAAAAGTCAAAATCAGTTTGGGTCCATTACTAGTGGAATTACGTTTGGTAGGGAAAGCGTCTTACCTGATGGTGGTTTAAACTCTGTTCAGGCATCTTGTAGGATGTGTTCTGGATAGAAACATGAATAGAAGAAGTCAAGAAGTTCAACTGATTCATCAAAGAAGTCAGAATCAACAGAGCACAGCCTGCACAGTCGGAGGAGCTGTGATTGCAAAATAGAATTTTTACAAGACAGTGGGTGAGATGACATATAGAGGAGATAGCTGTCAGAATTGTAGGTTTGTAGTAGGCTGTGGGTGAGATGACATATAGAGGAGATAGCTGTGAGAATTGTAGGTTTGTAGTTTGCTGTGGGAGAGATGACATATAGAGGAGATAGCTGTCAGAATTGTAGGTTTGTAGTTTGCTGTGGGTGAGATGACATATAGAGGAGATAGCTGTGAGAATTGTAGGTTTGTAGTAGGCTGTGGGAGAGATGACATATAGAGGAGATAGCTGTGAGAATTGTAGGTTTGTAGTAGGCTGTGGGTGAGATGACATATAGAGGAGATAGCTGTGAGAATTGTAGGTTTGTAGTAGGCTGTGGGTGAGATGACATATAGAGGAGATAGCTGTGAGAATTGTAGGTTTGTAGTAGGCTGTGGGTGAGATGACATATAGAGGAGATAGCTGTGAGAATTGTAGGTTTGTAGTAGGCTGTGGGTGAGATGACATATAGAGGAGATAGCTGTCAGAATTGTAGGTTTGTAGTAGGCTGTGGGTAAGATGACATATAGAGGAGATAGCTGTCAGAATTGTAGGTTTGTAGTAGGCTGTGGGAGAGATGACATATAGAGGAGATAGCTGTGAGAATTGTAGGTTTGTAGTAGGCTGTGGGTGAGATGACATATAGAGGAGATAGCTGTGAGAATTGTAGGTTTGTAGTAGGCTGTGGGTGAGATGACATATAGAGGAGATAGCTGTGAGAATTGTAGGTTTGTAGTAGGCTGTGGGTGAGATGACATATAGAGGAGATAGCTGTGAGAATTGTAGGTTTGTAGTAGGCTGTGGGTGAGATGACATATAGAGGAGATAGCTGTGAGAATTGTAGGTTTGTAGTTTGCTGTGGGTGAGATGACATTTAGAGGAGATAGCTGTGAGAATTGTAGGTTTGTAGTAGGCTGTGGGTGAGATGACATATAGAGGAGATAGCTGTGAGAATTGTAGGTTTGTAGTAGGCTGTAGGCTTCAAACATGGAAAATCGATGCTGACCGTGATGTCAAGAAAGTTTACTGAATTGGTGGAGATCAATGAGGTGAATGTGATAGCTGGATTGAAATTGGTGATGAAATTTATAAATTGGTCAAGCTCAACCAAAGACACTTCGGTGATACTGCCATCATCTATGTACCTCCGGAAACTTGTCTAAGCTTGATAAACCAGCCTCATATTCCAGGTGGCCCATAACTGGGACATTTCATTTAGCCTTTTAGTCACAGTTCACTGGATTAACTCCTTAAAAGCATTGAGAACATTGGCCCAGTCCATTGCTTTTCCTGTGCCTACCGTGGCCCTGCCAGTGAGAAAGTTTGCAAGCCAATTCTGTCCACATAATAAAGATTGACGGCAGTGAATCTCCCACAACATGCTGATGTCTCTCATCATGGTTGTACACTGTTAATCCACCTCTTAATGTCATCCTCCTACTTGCCTCACTGTCTACATCTTGCTCGCTTGCCTTCAATTTTTCTCTCTTGTGTGGTTTTTATAGGATTGCTATGTCTTTTATTATCTTTGAAGTATTGTCCCCATTTGATTTCTTTCAACCACTCAATATTTTCAGTCACTTTAGAGCTTTTTTGTGTGTGTGATTGTAAATTCTTCTGTACATCTCCAGTTTGATTTTCTTTTGAACATTGCTTTATATGTGGTGATTTTCTAAATATTATCGTTACTATAGTGGATTTTAAAATGAATTAGGTATGGAATTTAGGTTCTTATCACTTATAAGAATTACTTCCAATCACATCCATGCTGCGGCTGGTCACACGGCATGTCGTATGTTGTTGAGGTGTCAGGCGTTCCTTATTTTAAGTGATTTAACTGTTCTCTCTTTTCTCATGTAGTCACCGCTCATTTGCGAGATTATTGGCACGTTTTGCTACTTGAGTGACATTTCATGAATAGCAAAACTATATGATTTTTTTATTTCTACTTTGCCTTGCGGTTGCTTGGGGGGGGCACCGCCAAGAAATACAAAAATATCCAACCTTCGGTACTTGTGAACTGTCCTGCCTGCAGTGCACCCCCTACAGTACTTCTTATTTGTACGACAACACAACCTCACACAAACAGTGAGTGTGTTTAGCAAACATCAAACCAAGTAATCCAGCACTAATCTACTGCATCATTACACTCGTCATGTCATTTTCTCAACCATGGAAGTGGATGAACAAATCTACCCTGGCCAGCCTTCTCTGTGGAGATGGGACAAAAGGATGGAATGTAGAAAAATGTAAATTTATTATAATTTATTTTAGAAAGCACACACAAAATGGAACATAGAAACATAAATTTTATTCAGATTTTTGGGGGATATGGCACAAAAGGAAGGAAAGTAGAAAGATATAAATGTTTTTTGAATTGTTTATGTAATTTTGTTTTGAATGATCAGGATTCTTTCTGTCTGTTTGGCCTCAGAAACAGGATGTACTGTATCATACTATCCTGCTGGTGATGCAGGAGCTGGCCAAATTCCGCCAAAATCTCTTGTCAGACACTCTCACAAAGGAACATGCAGAGGAGATCAAGCATCAAGTAGTTACCATGATCGACTGGGGAAACCGGTGAGTGTGTCATTTATTAACTGTCATCAGAGTTAATTGTCTTTGTGTAGTAGTCATTTGGGTGGCAGTGGATGAAATGAGAAGTGAATGAAACTGGAGCAGGGGATCAATCTGGAGCAGGGGATCAATCTGGGGCAGTGGAAGAATGTGGGGCAGGGGATAAATGTGGGGCAGGGGATGAATGTGGGGCAGGGATGAATGTGGGGCAGGGGATAACTGTGGTGCAGGGGATGAATCTGGGGCAGTGGATGAATCTGGGGCAGGGGATGAATTTGGGGCAGGGGATGAATGTGGGGCAGGGGATGAATGTGGGGCAGGGGATGAATGTAAGGCAGGGGATGAATGTGGGGCAGGGGAGGAATCTGGGGCAGGGGAGGAATCTGGGGCAGGGGAGGAATGTGTTGCAGGGGAGGAATCTGGGGCAGGGGAGGAATCTGGGGCAGGGGAGGAATCTGGGGCAGGGGATGAATCTGGGGCAGGGGATGAATGTGGGGCAGTGGATGAATGTGGGGCAGTGGATGAATCTGGGGCAGGGGATGAGTGGGGCAGGGGATGAATCTGGGGCAGGGGATGAATGTGGGGCAGGGGATGAATGTGGGGCAGGGGATGAATGTGGGGCAGGGGATGAGTGGGGCAATTAGTGAATCTGGGGCAGGGGATGAATGTGGGGCAGGGGATGAATCTGGGGCAGTGGATGAATGTGGGGCAGTGGATGAATGTGGGGCAGGGGATGAGTGGGGCAATGAGTGAATCTGGGGCAGGGGATGAATATGGGGCAGGGGATGAATATGGGGCAGGGGATGAATCTGGGGCAGGGGATGAATCTGGGGCAGGGGATGAGTGGGGCAGGGGATGAATGTGGGGCAGGGGATGAATTTGAGGCAGGGGATGAAACTGGGGCAGGAGATGAATGTGGGGCAGGGGATGAAACTGGGGCAGGGGATAAATCTGGGGCAGGGGATGAATCTGGGGCAGGGGATGAATGTGGGGCAGTGAATGAATCTGGGGCAGTGGATGAAACTGGGGCAGTGAATGAATCTGGGGCAGTGGATGAAACTGGAGCAGGGGATAAAATGAGAAGTGAATGAAACTTGAGCAGTGGATGAAACTTGTGCAGTGGATGAGTCTGGGGCAATGGGTGAATCTGGGGCAGTGGATGAGTGGAGCAGTGGGTGAATCTGGGGCAATGGGTGAATCTGGGGCAATGGGTGAATCTGGGGCAGTGGATGAGTGGGGCAGTGAGTGAATCTGGGGCAGTGAATGAGTCTGGGGCAATAGGTGAATCTGGGGCAGTGGGTGCATCTGGTGCAGTGGGTGCATCTGGGGCAATGGGTGAGTCTGGGGCAATGGGTGAGTCTGGGGCAATGGGTTAGTGGCGCAGTATGTGAGTGGGGCTGTGGGTGAATCTGGGGCTGTGGGTGAATCTGGGGCTGTGGGTGAGTCTGGGGCAATTGATGAAACTGGAGTAGTGGTTGAACTTCCGGCAGTACTGAAAATGGAGCAGTGGATTAAACTGAACAAGGAATGAAACTGGGGCAGTGGATACAATGGGTAGAAGATGAAACTGGAGCAGTAGATACAATGGGTAGAAGATGAAACTGGAGCAGTGGATACAATGGGTAGAAGATGAAACTGGAGCAGTGGATACAATGGGTAGAAGATGAAACCGGAGCAGTAGATACAATGGGTAGAAGATGAAACTGGGGCAGTGGATACAATGGGTAGAAGATGAAACTGGAGCAGTGGATACAATGGGTAGAAGATGAAACTGGAGCAGTGGATACAATGGGTAGAAGATGAAACTGGGGCAGTGGATACAATGGGTAGAAGATGAAACTGGAGCAGTGGATACAATGGGTAGAAGATGAAACTGGAGCAGTGGATACAATGGGTAGAAGATGAAACTGGAGCAGTGGATACAATGGGTAGAAGATGAAATTGGGGCAGTGGATACAATGGGTAGAAGATGAAACTGGAGCAGTGGATACAATGGGTAGAAGATGAAACTGGAGCAGTGGATACAATGGGTAGAAGATGAAACTGGAGCAGTGGATACAATGGGTAGAAGATGAAATTGGGGCAGTGGATACAATGGGTAGAAGATGAAACTGGAGCAGTGGATACAATGGGTAGAAGATGAAACTGGAGCAGTGGATACAATGGGTAGAAGATGAAACTGGAGCAGTGGATACAATGGGTAGAAGATGAAACTGGAGCAGTGAATACAATGGGTAGAAGATGAAACTGGAGCAGTGGATAAAATGGGTAGAAGATGAAACTGGAGCAATGGATACAATGGGTAGAAGATGAAACTGGGGCAGTGAATACAATGGGTAGAAGATGAAACTGGAGCAGTGGATGAAAAGAGTAGGTGATTGAAAATGGAGCAGTAGATTAAACTGCTTCTGTGGATGAAACTGAACTGATTCAGTCAGTGAAACTGGCACTGAATGAAACTTTAGTGAATGAAATAAGAAGAGGATGAAATGAGCAGGTTGATAAATCTGAGTTAGTGGAGGAAACTGGAAAAGTGGATGAATAGATATTAGTAGCTGTCATCAGAAAGTTAAGGATTGGTTGATTCCCCCCCCCCCCCTCCCAAGATTGAAGTCCCCACCCCCAAGATTGAAGTCCCCCACCCCCAAGATTGAAGTCCCCCACCCCCAAGATTGAAGTCCCCCACCCCCAAGATTGAAGTCCCCCACCCTCAAGATTGAAGTCCCCCACCCCCAAGATTGAAGTAGTTAATGATAAAGCTGGAAGCTAGTGGTGTTTTAAATTATCAGTAATAGACTAACACACAGTGTGCTTGAGTGTTGATTATTCCTAAGGGTATTTCAATAATTTGATCCTGTGTGGATTCCGGGGGCCCCATTTGGTAGAATGGGGAGGGGTGCGCGGGGGGGGGGGGGGGGAGAGAAGAACTCAATGCCCCCAACAGGCAAGTCATAAAAGGTGACTAATTAAAGGTGTGCTGAAATCAGATATTTTAGGCCAAAAAGTGCAGCAGCTGTCACAGCCTAGCTGTAAACCAGCCACAAGACAACACGCCAACAGTTACTATTACAAGTAAAAACTGAAGAAAAAGATTAATGCAGGAGCAATGTAGTTGTTGATATAAACAATTCTTATTGTATTATCATTTAGCAAGACAGCTGAGGTCTGAGTGCATTTGATGTTAACACTCTTTATAAAGTCATCCTAAGTGTGCTTTCATTTCTTGTTAACATTATACAACTTCAGTGTGGGTGTAGGTGTTGTTTATCAGCAATCTTCTTGTAATTTTAACCCAAGTATGTTTATTAACAGTCTTTACCTAAATTTAGTTTAAGTATGTGTTCGTGTTTTGTTAACAATCTTTATGTAACTTTAGTCTGTTTGTATTTATTTTATAACATTGTATGTAACTTTGACCCAAGTATGTGGTCATATAATTTTTACAATCTTTACATTTTTTCAACCCAATTGTGTATTAACAATCTTTACATAACTTCAACCCAAGTATGTGTGTTTGACTATTAACAATCTTTACATAACTTCAGCCCAAGTATGTGTGTTTGACTATTAACAATCTTTACATAATTTCAACCCAAATACGTGTTTGTATTTTGTTAACATTCTTAATGTAACTTCAGCCTTGGTTTCTATTTATGTCATGGTAACATTTTTATGTAACTTTGGCTCAAGTATATTGTCACCTCATGTTAACATTCTTTGTGTAACTTCAGTCGTGTATATCTGTGTACACACATGATGCCCACTTTTTTGTGAGAAAGAGCACTAGCAGCCTAACTTCAGCAACTCCTGTTGTACTTTTGCAGCCAGCTGGGATTGGACCTAGTTCCAAGAGTCCACTACCAACAAGCTGACCCAGATAAAGTGAGTGTGGTGGAAATGTTCCGGATCCACGAACGGAGTGTACAGAACTGCAGAGCAGCTTGGGTAAGTTGATGAACGCTAACCACCCTAGATTCTGGGTCAAGTTTATCAGCAGTGTGTGCTGTGGGGAACAGCACATAGCAAACGATAATCTTCCCCAACAAATATCTGTTTTGCTCTCTGAATATGTTTGATGCCACTTATTGTCACTTGTCATGAGCCAGATATTTGTATGTAAATGCTTATTATGAGGTAGCATATATATTAAAATTACTGCTTCTTTCTTTCTGGCTCAGATACATTTTATGTTTGCCTGTTTTTGTGTTGTAGCGGACGTTGAAAATTATAAAATAATTTAGAATGTGAAAGTTTATTCCAAAATGCAAAACTAGATATTGAAATCATACTACTCTTGGACAAAAACTGAACTTTATTTGTGCACGGATACAGCAGATAAATTAATATTACCACATACACAGGAGCTATCATTCACACCTCCACCTTTTTTTTTTCATTGAGCTGCAGATTATCCATAAGAAAAGTTGTGAATGAGTAGATTTGTTTGGTGATTACCATCCCTTACCAGAATTTATCTTCATGCTACATACTTTAGCAGTATCATTGATGTTGATTAATGTTTATTGTAATACTTCTGGAGTTTGGTCAGTATTTACAAACAGTTCTAGGCTTTGGCTAGTAGTTGAAATAATATCTGGGTTTTGACTACTGTTAAAATGGTTTCTGGGTTTGGTTAATAGTTGTAAGGAGTTAATAATTTTGATTATCTTTTATTGTAAGATTTCTGGGTTTTATAATTTTTTAGTTTTTAATGAGTAGATATTGTAATTATTTATTGGTTTTGTTTAGTAGTTATAATTATATTTTGGTTAGTATTTATTTTAACAATTGTTGTTCCTCTAAGATGACTTTATCATAAGTAGGTTTGATGGCGTATATTCATTCTTTATTTTAATCTCTATGTTTGGTTTAACACACAAAATATTTTCCTAAAACTGTTGCTGATAGGTCAGAGAGGAGGTAAGAATACAAACTGGAATCTTGTTCTTCTGTTTCTATTGCAGTTTATTTATTTATTATATTCGGAGAAAAGGGGAGCGGAAGGAGTTGAATGGCAGTTTCCTGGTTTGGCTTTCTGCTCAATGGTTGATGTTTGAGGTCTTTCCTGGCTTCTATGACTGCTGCTGCACAATTGTTTTTGGGGAAAAATGATTGTACGTTCATTCTTATGCAAGGAACTATCTAGCATGGCTTGTATTATCTCAGCTGCCTTTGATTTTATTGATTTTATTTTAATTGTTGGTCTTCTAACAGCAATGACTTCTGCCAACTTGTTGCTTTTCCACTCTAGAGTGACCAGGTACTCAAAGAAATGCAATGCTAATCGATGATTATTTCAGATTATGTTTGCCATGGTAATATTGAAATTAGTAACGAATGCACTGTACAGTATAATAATTAAATCAAAAAGATAAACATTGCTTCAGGGTGTGGTATTATTACATATGAACAAAATAATCAGCTGTCTCCTGCAAGGAAAGAATATGTTGCTGTTAAAAAGAACTTAACATCATCTGCAAGATATGTGTGTCAGTTTCTGAGAAATAAGTTATAACAATATCAGAAACATGTAGTTGTTTTTGTGTGTGGCCACATTATGCTGTTGGAGATAGCAAGATATGGTGATGTATGATTGCCCATGTCAGTCAGCATAGCACTTGATGATGGGCATGAGAAGGAACAAATGGAACACGTTCTAACATCTGAAAAGCGTTGCTGGAAGGAGAGATAGAGAAAGACAACTAGATAGTATTCTTTATAGCCTTTTGTCATTGTATAGACAAGTACCTTATCCGAATCGATTGGAGACCACAAGGTGTGAATAAGCAGGAGACTACAAGGTGTGGATAAGCAGGAGACCACAAGTTGTGGATAAGCAGGAGACCACAATGTGTGGATAAGCAGGAGACCACAAGGTGTGGATAAGCAGGAGACCACAAGGTGTGAATAAGCAGGAGACCACAAGGTGTGAAAAAGCAGGAGACTACAAGGTGTGGATAAGCAGGAGACCACAAGGTGTGAATAAGCAGGAGACCACAAGGTGTGGATAAGCAGGAGACCACAAGGTGTGAATAAGCAGGAGACCACAAGGTGTGAATAAGCAGGAGACCACAAGGTGTGGATAAGCAGAAGACCACAAGGTGTGGATAAGCAGGAGACCACAAGGTGTGGATGTGTAGGAGACCACATGGTGTGGATAAGCAGGAGACCACATGGTGTGGATAAACAGGAGACCACAGGGTGTGAATAAGCAGGAGACCACAGGGTGTGAATAAGCAGGAGACCACAAAGTGTGGATAAGCAGGAGACCACAAGGTGTGAATAAGCAGGAGACCACAAGGTGTGGATGTGTAGGAGACCACATGGTGTGGATAAGCAGGAGACCACATGGTGTGGATAAGCAGGAGACCACAGGGTGTGAATAAGCAGGAGACCACAGGGTGTGAATAAGCAGGAGACCACAAAGTGTGGATAAGCAGGAGACCACAGGGTGTGGCTGAGCAGGAGACCACATGGTGTGGATAAACAGGAGACCACAGATTGTGGATAAGCAGGAGACCACAGGTTGTGGATAGGCAGGAGACCACATGGTGTGGATAAACAGGAGACCACAGGTTGTGGATAAGCAGGAGACCACAGGGTGTGGATAAGCAGGAGACCACAAGGTGTGGATAAGCTGGAGACCACAGGGTGAGGATAAGCAGGAGACCACATGGTGTGGATAAGCAGGAGACCACAAGGTGTGGATAAGCAGGAGACCACAGGTTGTGGATAAGCAGGAGACCACAGGTTGTGGGTAAGCAGGAGACAACAGGTTGTGGATAAGCAGGAGACCACAGGTTGTGGATAAGCAGGAGACCACAAGGTGTGGATAAGCAGGAGACCACAGGTTGTGATTAATCAGGAGACCACAAGGTGTGGATAAGCAGGAGACCACAAGGTGTGGATAAGCAGGAGACCACAAGGTGTGGATAAGCAGGAGACCACAAGGTGTGAATAAGCAGGAGACCACAAGGTGTAGATAAGCAGGAGACCACAAGGCATGGATAAGCAGGAGACCACAAGGTGTGGATAAGCAGGAGACCACGGGTAGTGGATAAGCAGGAGACCACAAGGTGTGGATAAGCAGGAGACTACAAGGTGTGGATGTGTAGGAGACCACATGGTGTGGATAAGCAGGAGACCACATGGTGTGGATAAGCAGGAGACCACAGGTTGTGGATAAGCAGGAGACCACAGGTTGTGGGTAAGCAGGAGACAACAGGTTGTGGATAAGCAGGAGACCACAGGTTGTGGATAAGCAGGAGACCACAGGGTATGGATAAGCAGGAAACCACAGGGTGTGGATAAGCAGGAGACCACGATGTGGATAAGCAGGAAACCACAGAGTGTGGATAAGCAGGAGACTAAAAGGTGTGGATAAGCAGGAGACCACAAGGTGTGGATAAACAGGAGACCACAAGGTGCGGATAAGCAGGAGACCACAAGGTGCAGATAAGCAGGAGACCACAAGGTGTGGATAAGCAGAAGACCACAAGGTGTGGATAAGCAGGAGACCACAAGGTGTGGATGTGTAGGAGACCACATGGTGTGGATAAGCAGGAGACCACATGGTGTGGATAAGCAGGAGACCACAGGGTGTGAATAAGCAGGAGACCACAGGGTGTGAATAAGCAGGAGACCACAAAGTGTGGATAAGCAGGAGACCACAGGGTGTGAATAAGCAGGAGACCACAAGGTGTGGATGTGTAGGAGACCACATGGTGTGGATAAGCAGGAGACCACATGGTGTGGATAAGCAGGAGACCACAGGGTGTGAATAAGCAGGAGACCACAGGGTGTGAATAAGCAGGAGACCACAAAGTGTGGATAAGCAGGAGACCACAGGTTGTGGAAGAATACCAGTGCTGGTCATCAGGGCACTCTAAAGTTTATTTATTGTAGCATATTGAATTTCTGTTTGTGCTTTTTATTCAAGACATCCATCTTTCTTATTATATTTTAATTATATTTTCAATTTTTTAAATTGTTTTTAAAAATTATAGCATGTGGATTTCTATTTGTTTTGTTACATGTCAATATTTCCTATTATTTTATTATGTTCTGTTTGTATTTGTTGTTTTTATTCAAGATACTGACCTTCACTTTACATTTTGATTTTATTGAAAGAAAAATTTTTGATTATAGAACTTTTTTTTTTTTTAAATTCAAGATTTTAACCGCTACCCTTTGTTTCATTTTGATTATATTTTTAAAAGTTTACATTTTGTTTAAAAAGTGTTGAGTTTTCTAATTTGTTGCTTTGATTTAAGATGTCATTCTTATCCTTTACTTTTTATATACACGTTATGTATGTTTTCTGATATGGATGATAAATGCATGATTTTTCTGGTTTATGCAAGTTTTAGATTGGTGTGTTTTGTTTATTTTTTTGTTTCTAAGCAGTTGTTGTTGTGGTCTGTTTGTCCTTAAAAAAGTTTTTTTTTTTAAATGTGCAGTCCACCATTTGTTTTTTAAAACCTGTCGACCCCAGAAGCTTTGAACCCAGCATGTCTCAATAGGACCCAGTCTAATGTGACCCGTTTCCGAGAAACCTAGTTAACAGCGCTGGGTTCTGTTTGCAACTGCCCTTGTCTTTACCAAACGAAACATTACCACTGACGTGGTAAAATACCAGTGTCAGTATTGAGACCCCTTTGGGGGGGGGGGGGGGGAGAAAAGATTCACTGTTTCTCTAACAGGAATCTCATAAAAGAAGTGACTAATTGAGGGTGCTCTGTACCAATTCAGAATGCAGCTGCCTGAGATACGAAAAACCAAAAAGTATGCAGATAAATAAATTAGATAGGTATTACAGATGTGCATGTTAAACTCAAGCTCTAGAACAAGACTGAAGTCTAGAAGTAGTCGAACAAGCAGAACTTTCCTCTGGAGTTTACAGCTGGTGAACTTCAAGAAGAACAACACTTGAAGAATATTTTATA